AAATGAAAAGAAGGACGAAAAAAAAAGAAAAAAAAAAAAAAAAAAAAAAAAAAAAAAAAAAAAAAAACTATAAAAAAAACGACAAAAGACCATTTGTGGTCCATTCATGTGGCACATCGTGAGACAGTCGGCAATCTCCTACAAAACGAAGATCCAATTTAACGCAAAACAAAAACAAACCGACAATAAGCATTTCACAACATGCAACATGTTCTAATTCATCGGTCCACGATCCCAACACTACTTGGCGAAGACAATCCAAATAGATAGGCCTGAAAAAAGGTTGACATCATTGCAGCTCTTCTAAGAGCACGTTGGACAATTGCAACACTAATCGGCCACAGCAATCCAAAGTGGAGAACCTACTGCACCAATGACGAATACACCGCAGGGCTTGGAAACGACACCGAAGGCCGTTCCGTGGGGCACACGAGGAATGGATACTGAAAACATCAATCAAACAATACTGATATCAAACAATGCAACAGGCAAGAAAGTCCCCTCCTGTGTCTACACTACCTCTACCTCAGCACACTGTAGCATGCAGGACGACGGCAACGCCGCTGCTCCCGAAACACACACGTGGCGATCGCTTGACCTCGGAGACGCGTGACCGAGAGACATTAAGATCGTTCGCAGATTGCTTTCACGATCTCTAAAAGGGCATTGCACATCACCACGTTTGCCCGGTCGACCTTCTTGTAGTGCTCCTTCTGCATCTCTACCACTCATTTGAGAATTTCGCATTTCCTCGTCAGAACAGAGCACTGCCTCTTGTTCGCGCTGTCCACCGCTGTTGCCATTAGCTTCCTGTGCTTATCGATGACGTCGGTGATCGCATCGAAGGTCTATTCTCTGGCATTCTTGCTTTTGCCACCCCCGTCTGCACTACCACCGCGGAACGTCGAATCCCTCGTCGATCCCTGATCGTCGTCATGTTCGTCCCCACATCCCTCACTAGTCACGGATTCGTTCCGACTGCCACCTGCCGTGGGCATCTGAACCCTCCAGCCGCACCTGTGTCTGCGAGATTCATCAGGTGAATAGTGTGATCGGCCTTCAACATCGCGTTTATCTCATAATACACACGCTCATCCATCCGAAAGTCGAACCTTTTCTCCTTCCTCTCCTCCGACGTTAGTGTGAATAATTTTTTCCCGGATTGTTTCATGAATCTGTGCACGGATTTGAACTCCTGGTACAGGTTGTCCCATTTTTTTCCGCATTCCTTCGCCTTCCCCGTAGTCACCCCCGCCTTCACAAGCATCTTCTCAACGTCGTCCCACTTCCACGTCCTCAGCTTCATTCGTCCATAGTTGTGCCCCAGCCCGGCGAGATGCAAATCCTGGTCTCTTTTTGCACGGGCCAGCACGATTATATCATCGAGGGTCCAAAAATCCCTTATTTTCCCTCCGTCGTCTGTGGACGTGTCATCCACCACCTTCCGCCCCTCACGTGGTTCTGTGGACTTGTTTGTGGCCTGACACCATCCCTGCTTCCTCCCAAGCGGAAAAATCTCCATCTCGCCGTCATCGTCTTCCCTGTTGTCCTTGCAACCGTCGTCTTCCGCGCAATCTTCGCCCCCTCCGCCATCGCAGTCCACGAACATATTATGGCCCTCGACGTTCGTCTTGGCCACCCTTGTCGTTATGCCGTACGGGTTGGATTGACGCAATTGTCGCCGATGATCGTCCCAAACCTGTCGACCCATGACCTATGTGGCGGACCAATCATCGTCGTCCCGTCGCCCGTCGATTACATCGTTGATTGGCAGGCCGTCAATCCCGCTGTCCTCGTCCTTGACGAGGCCACACCAGCACTGCTCACCGCTCCCCACTTGGCGAAACGAGTCCACGCTCGTCGCCCAACTCACATTAACACCCGCCACACTCGCCCGGAAGCCCGCTGCCTTGGTCGAACGTCGTGTGCGGTTGGTGCTTGTAGCTGGGTTGATGACACTAGTTTGCGTCATGTCCTAAGCACTACCAGACCTCAGACCGAAGCTCGGATCGACACGTCCTGTGTCGTAGCTGGCCGGGGTCCGGCCCTCCAGAAGATTAGTGTACGTCAGCGTCGGTGGCTGTCTTAACAGCTGGCTCCCCATCCAATCCTGTGTCGAACCGCTGCCCAGGGGAACCGTTGAGGATCGAGGGTCGTCGACGTCGTTGTCACTCGGAGGCAGCGAAATTTCGTGGGACGGCAGGTGGCTGTACAGCGTCGGGTCGTATGGCCGCCTGCCACATTGCACACCGGTGTAACACAGACGTGACAATCCCCTCGCCACTACTGACGCCGTGGCCTTCTTCTGAAGGTTGTCCCTTCCTCACCTTCTTCGACGTTCGCAGCGTCACTTTCCATCCAGGAACACGGCCAAGGAAGCGGATGTGGAATATGACAACGACAAGCAGCAGCAAAGCGACGAGGAGCAACAAAGGCAACCTGCGGTACAGGTCAGCCATGGACGGCAGGGCAACGGATATAGAACACGCACTTCCGCTGTCACATTCACGGCGAGTGGCGACACAGTAGTGGAGGAAGAAGCCAACGAAGCAGATTTCTGCAATGGAGGACTGAGGGCGGACGGCTAAAAAATTCATAAATACGACTGTCGGTGAGCCCGCCAGAAGGCGAAAACCCCTCCACCAGCCGGCCGAAGACGTCCGATGCTCGTCAGGGCCCCGCCTACGGGCTGCCCGAAGAACCAACAGGGCCGTCCCATGAATTGCCGGTAACAGTAAACTGAGGAGGCCATTGCAGGACGTTGACAACGACGACGACCTGCAATGGCTGTCTTCCGGCCGGTGGAGCACGAATGGACCGACTTCACCTTTCAATTTTCCTTCGTGAGTCGACGCCATGAGCCCATGAATCGTGGATTCTTGGGCTCCGAAGGACCTCGCGAGGTCCTTTGGACTCGATGACGATTTTCCTGGAAAATCCTCGGAGGCCGAGGATTTGTCCGCGGAGTGTTTTCACTTTTTTTTTTCGAAAATCTACTCCGAGGACAGGTGGAATGGCGACGAAATCCTTGGAGTTGCGTCCTCGAGGAGTGTCTAATGACGCCCTAACACGCACGACTGTAAGGTAATTTCAGGTGGTCTCTGAGTGGCTTTCCCTCTTAATTGATTGTCGATTGGTTTCTTCTGTTTTGTAATTCCTGATTTGCAGTCTGAGTGATTTCTTGAACTACGGTTCTGGAAACCAGAATCGAAAGTTTGTAAGGACATCAGAATCAACTTCCTACTTAGTTCTTCTTTTCGAATTTCCTACTTAGTTCTTCTTTTCGAAATTTCATTCTGATTTGGATGCCAAAAATTTGTGACCTAAATTTCCATGATTACTATTTGATCTCATCTATTCTTCTTTTCAAAATTTCATTTTGATTTGGATGCCAAAAATTTGTGACCTAAATTTCCTTGATTACTATTTGATCTCATCTTAAATTTCAATTCTCAAAAAGACAATACAGATAGATTCTTAACGTTGTTCCTGATTTTCGAGGCAAAGATCTACGGCTGTGGCGGTGTTTTTTCTGTTGATGGTTGCTTAGGGGGAAACTAGAATGGGAGGATGGATAAAATGAAAGGGGACTTTCAACAGACGGGAGATTTCCGTTATGGTGAGTAGGTCAGGAGGACGATGCTGGGAGGACATAGACCGGTGCTGGAGCTATGCTCTGTGACCCAAGGGGAGCTTGAGGTCCATGGAGTTATGCCGAGGGTGGAAGGCATAACCAGGTCGTCCAACGTAGTTGGCACCGGGGTGTGGACCCTGTAACCTGTTTAGGGGTTTGCCGCTAAAGGAATTGTCGAGGGAGGAAGGCACTTCCTGTCCATCAGAACTAGGTTGGTCGGTTCTGGGGAGGGTTGTGGTGCCCTGTTAACCTAGTAGAAGGGGGTATGAGGCCAGGTGAGTTTGGTACGAGGACTGAAAGCTGGGACCGACGGTCCCCTTGTTGAGAGAGGGATTTTAGGATAGTCGGTATTAATTTCTAGTTTTTACCCCTTTTTTCTGAATTTTATCCTGTTTCGGCCGTTAAGGGGGACTTGAGAATGTTTAGGGTTTCGGGGCTCCTATCAACGTTTCTTAGGTTACTTTGAAGTTGTTATACTCAGCGATCTGTGG